GTGGTTGTTTGTCCATCATCTTTCAATCACTTTTATCATGTAAAAGAAAAAGCATCTGTTGAGCATAGGTTTGGCATCAGCCTCCTAAGTGTCAGTGCCTGCTCTGCTACTTATTACTGGTGTTAAGTTCTTTAACTGTAAGAGCCTCAGTTCCTATGATGTTCAAATGTGATCATAAAAGTAATATCTTCTTCATAAGATGGTTTCTAAGATAAATAAATTCATACTTGAAAAAGAGCCTCACCCACCAAGAAAAAAAGTACTTAATGTTAAGTATTATTCTTAATTCATGTTATATTTGTTTTACCTTCTATTTATGGCAAATGGTTTCATTTACAGTAGTAACTTAAAGTTTCCTTGTTAAACATACTAATTGATTTTTAAAAATCAAAGTATTTTAAATATAACGATAAGAGATGACAAAAATCAGGACAGTCAGAGGGAAAGGAGGACATACAACTATGGAAAATTGATGAAAATGATATGCAAACGACTGAGGTTTGATAAAGAAGCACCACTGGAGATAAAAATGCAAGCCAGAAATGTCACACAGCTCAACCTAAGATGGTAACACAGAGGTGAAGAAAAAGAATGAATTTATGAAATATTTAGAAATTTTAATTGACACTCCTCCCCAACCCTAAAATCTAAAATAGTGGCTGGAACATGTCAGGGACTCTATAAATATTTCCTGGGACAGTATAAAGATACCTCAAAAAAAAAAAAAAACTAGGAATGAAACCACCAGCTGAGCCAGCTGTACCACTCCTTGGTATTTATCCTAAAGACCTAAAGTCAGCACACTGTAGAAATGCATGCATACCCATGTTTATAGCAGCACAATTCATAATAGCCAAACTATGGGACCAGCCTATTTATCTGTCAGTGGGTGAATGGATAAAGAAAACATGGTATATATACAAAATGGAGTTTTATTCAGGCATAAAGAAGAATGAAATTATGTCATCTGCAGGAAAATGGATGGAACTCGAGACCATTATGCAAAGTGAAATAAGCCAAACTCAGAAAATCAAGAATCATATGCTTTCTCTCATATGTGGAAGTTAGAGAGGAAAAATCACAAGAAAGATGGGGGAAAGGATATCATGAAAATCAAAGGGAGACCAGTAAAATAGAGCAAGGGGTTTAAGGGGAAGGAGGAAGAGAGGGAAAGGGAAAATAATGGGGAACAACATTGGCCAAATTATATTGTTACACTCTGTGCATGTATGAATATGTAATAATGAATACTACCATTGTGTATAGTTATAATGCATCAATAAAATATGGAAAAAGAATTTTTTTCCTGGGAAAACGTAGATATAATAAACCAGGAAGAAACAAAGAGACATTTCTTCTAACCTGAATATTTAAGTAAGGGGTGAAGTTGTAAACCACACAGAAAACAAGGCAAAGGGAACAGAATGTGGAAGAAGGTAACAAGTTAAGCTTAGAACACCTATTTGATTTTCAGTGAGAAAGCTAGGGGAAGATGTCCATCAGTTTATTTGGGAACTCAGGAGATGTGTCTCAGTTAAGTATATGAATTTGGAAGCTATGGATTCCATACTCTTAAGCTCTTTATTTTTCCTTCATGATCAAAGAGAAAGAAAAGGGGGGGCCTTAATATAGATGGTATCTATATTGGTAAGGGTTCTCCAAAGAAACAATCAGTAGGATGTGCATTACAGGAAATAATTTATTCAGAGGATTGATTCACGTGATTGTGGAGGCTTGGTGAGCCCACATTCTAACAGGAGAGGCTGAAAGAATGGAGGTTCAGAAAAGAGTGGAGGTTTGAGTCCAAGGCAGATTGCTGGAAAACCAGCCCCTTTTGCAGATGAACTCCACAGGCAGCCTGCTAGAGAAATCCCCCTTGCTCCACAAAGGTGGATCTTCTGTTCTATTCAGCCCTCTGATTGGATGAGTCAATCTACTTTACTCAAAATCCAAAAACACCCTCACAGAAACATCCAGAACACTTGACAAAATATAGGAACACTGTTGCCCAACCAAATTGACACTAAAATTAACCATCATAATGTGATAACTCATTCATCTTATTTACATTGTATAGATACACTTCTACGAAGAATTCAACCCAATAGCAAGATTCAGAATGGTCACTGTATGGTGTGGAAGAAAAACCCTGCAAGAGTACAACAACCTTCAAATTTTTTTTCTTCTAGAAATTGAACCCAGGATGCTTTTACCACTGAGCTTTTTATTTATTTATTTATTTATTTTTGAGACAGATTATCACCCAATTGCCTAGGCCGGCCTTAAATTTGTAATCCTCCTGCCTCAGCCTTCAGAGTTTCTGGGATTCCAGGCACATGCAACCACACCCAGTTTCTCCTTTTAGTCATCTTCAGAAAAAGGAACATATATATCAAACTGGAGAATTATGAGCTTCGAACTCTACGAGGTATTATCATCTAGGGTTAAAATAATTCTCTCTCACACTGGGCTCAAGGACAAATGTATACATACTGTATAATTTTCAGAACCTCTTTATAATGGAAAAATAGGGGTTTACACAGAGAATGTCTTTTCACAAAACAAAAATTAAAGCATGGGTGATGCTGGGACATCCACTGTGGTACCTTCAGGTCTGAAGGACCCCACAACCACCATCACCACCAATTTCTAACATGCAGCTGGTCCCAGGACGAGATGGAGCAGGAGGCCGAGGAGCTGAGCCTATGGCATGTTGCCCAGTGGCCCATACTAGTGGAGTTCTGAAGATGGCAGGTGGGAAACTTGTACATGGTTCCTCTACTATTCTGATAAGCTTGGATGACATATGAAAGTACATACCAGATATACACCACCTAGATGTGATCAGTGCTGCTGACAGTTCCTGAGATCTGACCATCCCAAGCAACAGCAAAGGATTCATCAGTGTCTACAGAATCTCTAGATCCACAGAGCCACCGTGGATGGACTCAAGGTCTTCTTTCTCCTGGTCTTTAGTTCCAAACCCTTTTCCAACCTCCTTTTGGCCTCTACCCTGCACATATTCTTTGAAAGATATAGTCTTAGATGAGGACAGAAAAAGATTGGGAGGTAATGCTGAAACCCAAATAAAACTCTGGACCCAGTTGAAGATTCCTAAAAAAGGCTCAAACACTTTCCTGAAGACCTTGACCTCTCTAAATTGATTTCCTTTTACAGAAGGGCAACCTTTTCGTGCCTCCTAAAGGATAAGAACCAGAGAGGGCTGAGTTTCATGGGCAATTTCATATGGTACTGCTTTATGAATGGTTCAACTTGTAACATGTACTTTCTTGAGTCATTTCACACATGACTACAACTGCTAAGGGGAGAAGTACAAAGAATCTCTTAGGCCATGCATTGATCCCCTTGGTGCGAAAAACAGTGACACTATGATTGACAGCCCCACCATGAATTCATGTATTAAATGGACATTATTCCCCAAAAGTAAGTTGACACCATATTGGAGTTGGCCCTGGACAATCTTAGTTTACACCAGTTTTTCAGTAGTAACTACAGGTAATGTACGTTTCACTCACAAAAGTGTCAAAATTTGAGTAATAAATTGCCTGATCACTCTACACAAAGGAAAAATAGAACATGATTGATAAAGTGGGAAAAAGTGATGCTGAGCAGATAAAAATAGCTACTGGTGCAATAAGACTATCAGAAGGGATCAAAAGAAAGTGCTTTGCTCCAATCTCTCAGGACAAAAACTTATCATATAATAGTCTAAAATCTTCATTCGTCTTTTGGTTTTTGTTTTGTTTTGTGTAGTTTTGATACCAGGGATTGAACCCAGGGGAGCTTAACTGAGTCATATCCCCAGCTCCCTAACTTTTTAAATATCAACATAGGCTCTCACTAAGTTGCTCAGAGCCTTGATAAGTTGCTGAGTCTGGCCTTGAACAATCCTCCTGTCTCAGCCTTGCAGATATCTGGAATTACAGGCATGTGTCACCATGCCCACTGGTCTTTTAGCTTTGACTCCAATAAGAAAATAACATTCCTATACTCATGTTCTAAATCATTATGACTTTAACCCAATAGTTCCATACTCTTGTCTTCCTATGTCCTTGTAGCTAAACCCTAAATGATAAGGTGGTGTTTTGATGGCACTTTTTTAGCTTAATTGGTACCCTCCTGCTTTCCAAAGTAGAATGCTAATATCCACTCACCCAGCTGGAAGGTCAGGGTAAGACCAGATCCAATATTCCCCAAAGCAAGTGGAAGCTGGTTGCTATATCCCTAACTGCTGATTAATAATAAGGAAGTCAAATGGTGCCTTTTGATTCTGATTTCCTCTGAGAGTCTGTTCTACAAGCATGGGGTCAACTAAAAGGAAGTGGGGTTTTGTTTAATATTTTCTCCTTTCATTAATACACTTAAATTACTTTCTTGTAAACTCTGCTTGTTACCTAAATGTACTAGCACTTTTGTTACCTAATTAACTTTCTTATCAGAATCCCAACCAAAAATAACAAGAAATGTAATAATGATAAGGTATCCTGCCCCCTCAAAACAGATTTCCTTTTGCGTTTTATCTCTTGGTAATGTTCTGGCTTGTTTAATTAAAATATCAGAAATTATTAGACTCAAATTATTTCTTGATCTCTGCTCAAATTCTCCTGAAAAACTGCTTCTTCTGCCTCAGTATTTAAACCTTTATCAGTGTGAGGCAGACGAGTTTCCATACATAGGCAACTGGATTCATGTAATTCAATATAATTTTGGAGGAAGAGCCTAATTTAGTCTCTAAGTAATTAAACAAACAAATCAGATTTGGCTACACTGAACCATGAATGTTCAAATACTCAAGTCTCCTTTCTTGTGCTTCTGGATCATGAAAACGAACAACATTAATGTGCAAAAGCCTTAAAAAATTTTTGCATAGGTATGTGAAATTCAAAGCAACAATCTTACTTATTTTCTCATTAGAGAGATGGGGGTAAAAATCACCAAGTCCAAACCACTAACACAAGTTGTTTTTGAGGAGGGCGGTCATGTCTGTTACACACTTTACAATAACAGATGAGGAAGTGGCCTTACATCTCAGCACTGAGAGGGAGAAAACTGTAAGACATATCGATTATTTTTCATCACCAAACTCTGTGAAAAAAATTCAGGTTGGAATCTGCTTGCTTCTGGTGGAGCTGTGTGAGAGATTCACCTTCTTTGAAGTCGTCTGCAACATGATCCCCTTTTGCACCGTCAAACTGGGCTACCACAATTACCAGGCAGCCATTTTGAACTTGTGTTTTATTGGAACTTCAATACTTACTCCTGTGCTTGTGGGGTGGCTGGCTGACATCTTCCTAGGAAGAAATAAACTGGTGTATATCTGCTTATTTCTACATTTCCTAGGTAAGTGCTCCCCTGCTGACTGGGCTGTTTTGCAATTTAACTGAAGAGATTTTGGTTAGACTTTTTGGTTTATGTTACTCTTATCCTGCTCTTAGCACAAAGTGTGATAAATGAAGTAAGAATGCTGTTTCAGTCTATTTCATAGTGTATTTTATTTAAGATGCTGATAAATCTGAGTGTGTTAAAGGATGCTTTGATACGTATAGCACAGCATTTATTATATAACAACTATTTCTTTACATGTCTATCTTCTGTTCTTCTTAGAATGTCTTTGTTTCCCACTTAATATCCCAAACACAATTTTTTTTTTACAAATTCTATGTGAAACATGAAATTAATTCACCTCACAAAAAGGATGAAATGTGATGGAAAGTTTTTTGTAGTTCATGTAGAATAATTGGAAGAATTGAGGAATGTTTGCATCAAAAGATAGCCTTTTTTTTTTTTTTTTGGATACCAGGGATTGAACCCAGCGGGGCTTAACCACTGAGCCACATCCTCAGTCCTTTTTATTTTGAGACAGGATCTCACTAAGTTGCTTAGGGCCTTGCTAAGTTGTTGAGATTGGTCTTAAACTTGCAATCTTCTTGTCTCAGTATTCTTGCCTGTATTTAAGCCAGGTCCAGTGGCCCATACCTATAATCCCACCTACTCAGGAGACTGAGGCAGGAGGATCCCAAGTTTGAGGCCAGCCTGGACAATTTAGTGAGACTCTGTCTCAAAATAAAAAAATAAAAAGGGCTGGGACGTAGCTCAGTGGAAGAGTACCCTGGGTTCAATCCCCAGTACCAGCCCCTCCCCTACCAAAAAAAAAGTCTGTCAATTAACCATAGGGTAATTAAGAAAGCACAGGAAATTATAACTTCTGTATTTTTAACTATGGTTATATGCTTTTGAAAATGTGTGCATTGAAGCACTACACTGTGCTTCAGTACACAGAGAAATAAATATACCTAAAAAGCTTGGGGATCTTGTGAGAAGTGCTGGGGAAATATCAAGTTGATGAATAGTCTAGAATTTTAAACTGGAATATTCAAGTTATTCTTCTTAGACAAGAGTCACTGAAGATATGATGGGCATAACTTTTGAGAAAATGGTTTTCATCAATAAACAGGGTGGCAAACCACAGTTAGAAATTAAATAGAGACCAAAAAAAAAAAAAAAAAGTCTCAGGATGATGGTTTAAGCAATAGAGAAGTGTCAAGTCAGGAAAGAACATGTGAAAAGCTATAAAAACTTGGAAACTAAATATAGATACAAAACAATGGGGAAGCCAAATTCATCTCCACAGTCCTGAGCAGAGGAACTTGAGAAGGTGGTTTACTGTTCACTATTTAGCAAGAAGTGCAACTGAAATGCATGTGGCAGGGAGAAAAAGGAAGAAAGGATAACAGATACCAGGTGCTCTACCTATCACAAAATTTCAGACAGTAGCAAATTACCATTCAGAAAACTGATTAGAGCGTGATTTGAACTTGTAAATGTCACTGCTTAAGTTCTGCAAAATAAAAGCCAAGTTGCTGCATGGCAAATATAGACTCAACATTCAGCAAATACTTCTTGTTGACCACTCTGTACCAGTGATGGTCCCACGGTCTGGGAATGTAACAGAGGGAAAAACCGTCAGTTTCTGCTAAAGCTGATTTTCAGGTAAGGGGAGAGAAAATAAACACACAAATAGATATTATGTCAGGTGGTAATAAGTGTTACAATGAAAAATAGAGCCCCCTAAGGGTATGGAATGAAATAGACAGTGACAGAGTTGCTATTTTCTATCAGGGAATGCTTTCTGATAAAGAAACATTTAAACAGAAACATGAATAATTTATTCTGCTTGACTCCATAACAGGCCACTTCAGCAGCACTTGGTAACTTCTTCTTGCTTAACCTGATAATTCCTATCAGTCTAAATTCCAGGGAAAGTCACCAGACCAGAACAGAAAACTTTACTTTTGAATTTGGCAAACAGAAAGCCTGTGTCAACTCCATATCCATTCACTTCCTTACTACAAGTTATTTCCTTGTCTTCCCGCTCCCAAATACAATTAGGTTCCAGCCTGTCACTAAATATCAGAGGTTCTATCAGAAATGTGTCTTCTGTCTGAATTGCTATAAACTTAGCTCAAAAATTCAGCTTTCTTCTTCTTGACCATGGCCAACTTACTATACAACCAGTTGTCAGTCGGATTCCAGTCCATATGCCATTCTACCAATGACATTGATTTTTTAAAAAGAAATATATATATATATATATATATAATATATATATATATATATATTATATATACACACACACACACACACACACACACACACACAGGATCTAATAACCTAAAAAATAAAACCCAAATTTATTAAAGTGTACAAGAAACTTTACAACTATACAAAATTTATCTATGAAAACTTCTTTCTCAGTGTGCAACTCCAACATGCTGAACTTGTCCTTAACTTCCCTACTATTCTCTTCTTTGCCTGAAATTATGACCTTCCTTTATCTTTCCACCCCACATTCAACATTCAGAAACTTCTGCTGATCTCCAAGGTCCACGTAGTGTTGCTTACCAGCTTCTCTGTATTCAACTACGTGCTGACCATCCCCATTTGATTACATTTACTTCTTTATCATACAATGACTTCTGAATTGCTACAAACCACTACCATTGTAGCGACACACTCCTAAATCAGTCGGCATCACTCCAGGCAAACTGGGTTGGTACAAATAACCACACTGAGAGAAAATATGTTTTTCTTGGGGTTCTTCAGCTCCCACAAGAGAGGCAAGGGAGGCAGACAAAATAGAGAGGAGCACGTTGTGAAGCCCTTTTTATTGAGCGGAAGACACTGGAGAAAGTTCCACCCCAATGAGGCAAGGGGTCAGGTTTCAGGGGGTTGAGTCTAGCTTCACGATGTCTTGTGGTCAGCAGATTGACTGACATCTTGGAAGGCCATGCCCACTTCATGGGCTGTGTGGGGACCGTGGGCAGAGCGAGAGAAAAGGACACATAACGTCGCCAGCCCAAACAGAGAGGCAACGTCAGTCCAGTCCCCTCCTGTTCTCAGGATCATAGCTCACACACACAGCCCATGGCCGGCCTATGACACACCATGACTTCTCTGATGGACTTACTTGCTCCTAGAGGAAAGAGCCAGGGACCCCTACCATCCAATGAGATACAGCACATCTTGGTGCTTTAAACAAGACTGTCAAATACATACATGACGAATGTGTGGGACATGATAGCACATTCCAAAGAGGAGAATTTTAGTCCAATGTGTTATAAATTTGCACTTTTGTTATGTCAATTTTATAGCAGATAGAAATAAAATTTTGATCTAACAGAATCAATATACTAGGACATTTTCTCAAAAGATGAAAATAAAGTGCCTTTTTAACCTACACAAAGTACCATATGGACTAAAATGTCTTGTCCTTAAACAAGTGGTTGTTGCATGAAATAATTTATTTTATTATTACATTTGGTTAACCCTTTGCCTACCTGGCCTCATACTGTTCCTCAGAGAAAAAAAAAACAATAAGTGGAAAACCGGCCAAACCCGAAGGGAAAAAATTCAAAACCAAAAAAATAAAGGAACCAACCCTGAAAGAAAACAAGCCGGTAACTGAATGATAACTGAGTCCATATATTCTTCACATTGTAAAAGCCATGGTAAGAAGACAGAAGCATGATACATCATTTTTGTCTATATGAAAAAACTAAGCACATTAAACAGCTCATAAAATAATTCATACCAAAAATGCTAATGCCAAATTAATTTTAAAAAAAGAGAGAACAAAACTAACATGGACAAGCCATTCTTCACTAATCAAATTGCCAAAAAAAAATGATGATGATAACTAGTATTAATGCAAGCCATCTCATAAAATAGTGGTGGGAGGTAAATTGGTTATATTTATAAAGAACATTTGTTAGTGGTATTAAAAATCATAAAAATATGAATGCTATGGATAAGAACTTAGGCTAAGGAAATAATCAAAGATGTCTAAAACATTTACATGTCACAATATTTGTGCAGTATTCATTCACAATTATTAAAAAGGGATTTTAAAACAAATAATGACTTAGAAATCATATTGAAAAATATATATAAAGTCATTTAAATTTTTTCATATTATTTGGTTAAAGAAATCAACAGTATAATCTCAAATTTGTTATTTATATAAAATATAACTATAAATATAGCTTATAAAAATACAGTTAATGTTAAAGATTATTTCCACGTCATGAGAGTATGGGCATTTTTGTGGGGAGGGATAGTTTCCTGTATTTCTCAAATTTTCTGAAATAAGAATTATTACATTTACAATCTGGTGGAGGGGAGGGGATGCCATTTCAGAAAACCTGATCATTTGACCACTTGCTGATAGTAAGCACAAGAAGAAGGAGATTACATCTGGGCTGCTCTATAATATTGAGCAAGTCACTGAACTTCACTGAACCTATTTTTTTTTTAATTGGAATAAGAAAATCTATTCTCTGACATCACAAAGTTTTTCCAAGAGGAAACAATATAGTATATTAAAATTCTTTGCAAAATATAAAGAGTTAAACAAATGCCTGTTCATTAAACAAGAAAAACCATCTAGTATGTCACCTACGCATGGAAGTGACGAGGATGCTCAAACCCTCCTTGGCCACTTTATGTCTTCCCCGTCTCCAGCAGGTACCACATCACCCAAGTCCCACTCCTATCTCTTCAGGTTTCTCACCTCTGTGTGTCAGGGGTTCCATTTTGTAACCGTGTGAAAAAAAGTAAGAAGAGCCCTGAAGGAAGAAAGAGATATAGAAATGGAAACAATGGATTGTGCTTTCCTCTATTATAATATTCTTCTCAAAAGTTTTTAACAAGTTTCTGAGCTATCTGAGATCACCATGTTTCCTATCACTCTATTAAGAACAAATAGCATGTTAACAGTGATTTTCTCTTACATGGTGGGTGGAGTGGGGGGTGATACAGACATCCTAATTTTTGACATGATGTTTTTCTAAATTGCTTTAATTTTGTTAAAATCGACACAATTTGCTTACACAATCTGAGAAGTAAAGATAGTTTAAGTTTGGGGTAGGGACGGGAAACAAAAACACAAGAACTCTGGTTAATACACGCAATAGAGGAAAATTTTACACTTACGAAAATCAGGCTATCTCTGAAATTGCAGTGATTAACATAAATATCTTAATAAGACAATTATATAATGATGCCACTTTCAGAGGAAAAACCTTATTTGTGCTGTGATTGGTGATTCCATGTTTTTTTTTTTCTCTCCATTCAGGCACTGCCTTGTTATCTGGGGTTGCTTTCCCCTCAGAAGATTCCTACATAGGCTCTTACCATGTGATTAACCACATACCCACCAAGGAGCAGAACAGGCTGTTTCACGTAGCACTGCTAGCCATCTCCCTTGGCACCGGAGGAATCAGAGCCATTGTCTGTCCACAGGCTGCTTATGGTCTTCAGGAACACAAATCAAAGAAACGAACATCTCTTTTTAACTGGTAGGTAACACTGGTTAAGAAAAAAAAATTATGACCATCTTCTCACTTTTAGGTTTTCTCATTGTTCAATCCTGGTCTCATGTTCGCAGCAACCAGCTGGTATTTGTCCCTGGTTAACTGGGTATGTGATGGATGATGTCTGTGACAATGCTTCAGTCAATAATCATGGGAACATATGGGTCAGACCAGCCCAGCTAATCAGCCCACTCCCATGACACGTTGATAAATTTATCCTCCAAATAAAAAGATGTAAAGTGGCTTGATGTGTTGAATAGAATACAGCTTTGGAGCCACAACAGGCCTGTTGGAAGTCTCAACTGCACTTGGTACATACTTACTGACCTTGAACAAATCATTTGTTCTCTAGTTCAGTTTACTCATTTCTGAAGGGAGATAATAATATTTCTCAGGTTTTATTAAAGGCAATATTATGCACATCACCTGCAGAAAACTTGGCACATAGCAAGTGATCAAAAAAATGGTAGCTGTTATATTATTAGTTATATCTACATTGTAATAGACTAATTTGGCAGGGATTATAAATTCACAGGCCAATACACAGAGGAGATGACAAAATATGGAAGTATTTTATAATTCGTTAACATCAACCAGCACCTGTTTCTAACCCAATTCACCCCAAAATTTAAGTGTTTGTGTTTCATGAAAAACCAAAATACTTTTCTGTGAATCTTTGTCTTTTCCATTGCATTCATACGTCGTTCATTATTTTATGTGTTTTTAAAGGAACCACTTTCTATAATTAAATAGAAACTCAAGAAAAAAAATTGAAATTTGGAACTTAAAGAAGACGAGTTCAGAATTTAGCATAGAATATTTTAGTTTTTTTGTTAATCATCATCAGATGTCAAATAGATGGGAGATGCTGCTCTAGTTTGGATCTGGAAAGCCCATGTATTGAAGTCTTTGTCCCTAGACCATAATGGAAGGCAGGAGAACCTTTAGGAGGTGGCGCCTTGCAGGAGAAGCAGGTCACTGCAGGTGTGCCCATTAAGGGGACAATGGGACCTCAGCCCTTTTCACTCACTCTCTTTGCTGCCTGGACACCAAGATGTGAGCAGCTTTACTCCCCATGTGTTCCCTGTCACCACGCACTGCCCAGAGACTGAAAGCTGACTAACACAGATACATTAAGTCTTTTATTCCCTCTGTTTTTGTGAAATGAATTGCCAACATTTTTCTAAAATATTTTGTCTTTCCATCAGTGTTTGCAATGGTTAACAGCAATGCACAGATAGCATCAAACAAAAATGCTTAAAATTTTCATTTTAAAAGCATCAAATGAGAAACATTTAAAGTATAATATTGTCTTGGTATATGTAGTCATCCAAGCAGTTCCCCTTCTCTTTCTCTCCCTCCCCCACCCCCAATATATTAATATTACAAAGCACTCAGGCCTATTTTGGATTAAGTCCTAATGTCAGAGAAAATGCCGTTTACTGAAGGTGGAAGGGACTCTTTACTTCCTTATGGCAAATTCTGCCTCCTTGACCTGCCCAAAGGAGAAAGAAAAATCCTTCTTTTTTATTCTATTCGGAGGTTTTAATCCTTAATTAGCAACATCATTTTGATTAAATAAGACTCTGGAGGATTAAGACCGGAGAGCAATCAGTTGTTCTGAAAGATAGCTCTGGAGAATTTATTGTACTGTGGTCTTAGTCATTCAGAGTTGTGTTTAATCAAAGTGACATTTCTCAGTGTTGATTACAAAGGAGACATTATATGAATGAAATATTTCCTTTGGGAAATAGAGGGGACTCCCGATGGGATTATGCTTTAGGGCTTTGAGAAGGAGGACAGGGAAGGGAGTGAAATTGAATTTCTGCCTCTGTGAGGAGCCAGGCCAAATTTAAGATGAACACATCCAGATTTGCTTCTTATTATTTTGTAATTTCATTAGCGTCTCTGATAAAAAGCAATCATGTAGTGTTTTAAAGACTTAAAGCCTCTATAGATGTATATAAAGAAAGAGAATGTTATTCTTTAATGAGTTAAAAGCCTGGACAGGAAGCTCCTTGAAGGTTGAATCCAGTTGCTTTAGCTTTTCTTCTTCTTCTTCTTCTTGGTTTTAACACTAAACTAAAAGACAACCAACGTTTATAGACATCCACTTTCTGCACTTTACAGAAATGCATGCTAAGGCTGTTCCAGGACAAACTACAGGAGTTGGTGGCAAGACGAACAGAGTCCTTGCTGGGTTGCTGGCAGAATACTAGCTCTACTGCTTAGGAGTTGTATGGCCTCCAGCAAGTTCCTTAATCTCTTAGAGCCCCAGGTTCCTCAACCACAAAAAAAACGAATCGCCTTCGAGGGCCATTGTATTGCCTCCACATACAGTATCATAACAGATCTTAGGTATTAAATTATGATCATTATAATTATTAAGTGATAAATAAGTCATCAGCTAAAATCATTATCTTAACGCTGGGAAAGAGAGAACCTATTTAACAGAAGACCATATTTAAACTGGGCAGTCCATTAGATCATTAGATCCACGTCTCCAAGTCCAAAATGCCCCTAGAAATTACCAGCCTGGAAAATGTGATGAATTTCAGTAGTGCCTTTAAAGGACAACACGCCACTTGCATCTATAACCACTGAAAGCTGCATTCAGTCCTATTTTCAGCACAGATGTCAGATGTTCATAGCTGCGAGACCTTTAATGAGATGTGTCATTGCATCCGTACCACCCAACGCTTCCCCGCGATCATGTTAAGCAGCCTAGACTGGAAGTCTCAGGCACTGAAGGCACCACTTCCGAGTAAGGCTGCCAAATGTAGGTGAGAAAACCACTCCTAGCCAACATCACCATCTGGTACTGGATCTTCCTCAACTGTGTACCTCATTGAAAGAATAAAGCTGAACTCCCCGAAATCAAGAAGCATAATAACCTGCCAACATCCTCGTGCTCTTATCCAGATCAGAACCTGGCTCTTTCAGCATTTTCCAAAGTCTTAAGTGTACAATTATGAGCTGCCACACTGGCAATAATCTAGGTAAATATACCCGTGCAGATTCTTTTCTGGAAGCAAAACAATGGTGTGGATAATTAAGTCTGTTCATGGCCACAATTTAAATTCTATCACAATTAACCTCCACTCGCTTCACATTATTTACTTCACCTGATAATTTGCTTCCTATCTGTACATACAGTCTGTTGCTAAAGGTGCACCAGAGCAAAGCATGTATGATTAAAAGCCCAAATAAAATATTGGTGAAGTTCTTGAAGAAGTCTAAGGAATTTATTCATGTCAGAAATCATTAATATCTGATACTCAAATTGGCTCTATATGTTATCTGTCCCATACAGAAATCATCGGATTTTAATACTTTCATACTCAAATGCAATATCTTTTATTTTAAGGAAATGACGGAAGTAAAAATGTATTATCCCACAGCATTTTTCCAGAATTCATTTCAATAGTTGCCTGAGCATTATTTAAGAACAGTGATTCTCAGCACTAGGTGTACATTAGAGCTACCTGAGGATTCTTAAAAAATGTTAAAAAGTCTTTTGATCCATGTATGGGTGATATCTTTACATCCATTCGGATATACTATAATTTCCTTCTTCAGTAGTTCACACTTTTCAGTGTATAAATCTTGCCCTTCTTTTGTAAAAAAATTTCTTTAATATTTTATTATTTTTACACTATTATAAATGGAATTATTAATAAAATTATTTTCTTTAAAAATTACACACACACACACACACACACACACACACACACACATATACGGTGCCTGGGCCCAGCCACCAGAGGTCATGATGGTGTTGTTTTGAGGTGGAAACCCGGGGAGCAGGATGGTTTTGGGTTTTTAAGTTGCCAGGAGACCCAACCTAACCCTCCTGGATCAGAATTTCCTAGGATAGTTGAGGAAATATGTTTTTAATATGTACTATCTTAGTGTGTTCTGGCAACTGTAACGAATTTTCATAGACTTGATGGCTTATAAACAATACAAATTCATTTCTTAAAGTTCTAGAGACCAGGATGAGATCCCTAAGCCAGCATGGGTTGCAAATTCACAGCTTCTTGTGTCTTCACCTGGTAGAAGGAGCAAAAGAGCTCTCTTGGGCCTTTTTGTTTTGTTTTTACATATAAAAGCACATTTAATAGACCCAAATATATTGTCTTATAGAATTTAAAAAGTCAGTAGTATTTAAAAGTTGACATTTTAATATTTTCACTTTGCAAATTAACCAGATGTTCCTTTTAAACATTTATGAAGATTAATACCACTTATGTTGAATTCAACATACTCATTTTTAACTGTTAACTTGGGCCTCCTTGTTGATGGACTTTTTTTTATTAATTTGTTTGTATGCGATACTGAGAATCAAAGCCAGTGCCTCACACATGCTGGGCAAGCTCTCTACCACTGAGCCACAACCCCAGCCCTAGAGCCTCCTTCTTAAAGGAACTAATCCCATGCAAGTGAATTCCATTCTATGACCAAAGCCACACCTCTAAATACCATTACCTTGTGGGGTAAGCGTTCAACATACGAATGTGAAAATAAACAAACATTTCAAGTAAAGCAAGTTCTTCAGGTGATTAAGAAGATGGAGCAGATTTTGAAACCAATTCCATAGCCATAAGGAAAAGGGATTTGCAAACTGGTTCTTGAAACAACTTTGAAAAGAAATGGAACTAAACATTGAGCACAACTACATGCCAGACTACTTTGAAAAGTGCTGATGATTCATAGCATTTAGAAATCTACCTGATGGAGAAATTCTGCATAATCTTGGATAAGAAAGAGAAACCAAACATAAACCTATGTATATATTCTTCAATAATAAAGTAGCAATTTATAAGGTACGTGTTAGCCAACAAGAAGAAAGTGGTGCATAGAATGATTTTATTAATACTAAAATATCCTGTGACTTGCAAACTCCCGAGTCACCTCTAAATAGCTTTGAAAAAAATCACTACACCTTCTAAAATCTTTTTGCACTTGTGTTAGCTACCTTTAACAAATGCTACCCTCTCAACTGGAACTTCTTTCTCTGCCTGCACCAAACCATAAGCTTTCAGGAAATACACTCAGAACTCCTCTATAAATGTAAATAATTTTGGAAACTAAAGAATATTGAGAATAAAAAGACAAAGTCTTTGCATTTCTTATTGCTCTTGTTGCAGCCTACTTTTTCTTAGCCCTTGTGGGTCCTTTTAGTCTTGGTAGGTATGTAAGTCAGGATTTATTATTGTCCATCAATCAGTAAACATGTAGTGGTTAAAAGGTCTTAAATGCAGGAAGTAAGAAAAAAATACACCAAAATTGGGGTGTTGGCAAAAGAAGAGAGAGGAAAGGTATAAAAGCAGGTCTGAAGAGTGAGAGAGGTAGGAAGAGTGTGAGAAAGAGAAGGAAGCAGTGCCCAACATTTCTCAATTTAAAATATGACTTCTGTTTTTATCTTGCTGCCTATTCATCAAGATCAATAATCATCTTTTATTAAACTGATTTTTCTTTCAAAGCTCTGCTAAAAAAGAAAATTCACAGGTAAAAACAAAGAAGTAAAAAAAAAAATTCTATTTGCTCCTTGTTTCTCCATACATGGCTGCCAGAATATTCTTTGAAGTACAGTGGGCTCAGGATTTTGCTAAAAGAAGCAACCACCATGAAAATCAGTGCCCAGGTGTGTCACTAACTCTTCTAAACAGTTCAGTTTTATCCCACTGAAGAGTCACAAATGCCCAGAGAATTATCTCAGTGTTGTTCAACGTAGAACTAAAATACTCACTCTGAAGTCTTTAAATTGTCCAGTAATACCATGAAGACCAAAAATTTGCAGGAAGTTTTCCCTACTCCTGGATATTTTCTCAGATTAATCACTTCTTAAATCACTTCTCCTAAAATCACTTAAAATCAATCCAAAGCATGTCAAAGTTAGTCAGTCAAGGAAATGACAAAAATATTCATGTGACTGTAAAATTATCACTAAATAAATTAAGTGTATATTTAAAATAAGTTATCTCAAAAGGATGGCTGAGCTTTCTACAGCAAATTTTTTTCTTATTTGTACTCAACAACATAAAATCATGAAGACAAGAAAAAATTGCTACTTATATACTACCAGTTATTTGCAGTTTCCAGTCTGTATTTAAAAGTAGAGTAAAGAAACATATTTTTACTGATGCTTTCAATTTTCCTTAATCACCGGTATTTGTTTTGCTTTAGTGCTTTGCTCTCTGACTTTCTGTGTGAGAGGTGTTTTATCCATTCAATTTGCTAGTGAGCTATGAGATGAAAGGCATCTTAATGGTGAGTTGGAAGACAGTGGCTTTTTATTTCTTTTCTTTCTTTTCTTTTTCTTTACTGATGACACATATATAATTTCACCCTTAATTATCTGGGGCTTGTCCTGTCCATGGATCAACAAAGACATATATAAAACATGCCCATACTAGGTAATTCTTTCAGAAAATTACACAATCAAATAGGTGGGATGGCATTTGTTAAAATACATTTAATACTTTATGTGAAATCACTCCTTATACATAGATATGCAGCACCATAATTCTTTGGTTTCTAACTACCTTTCCCAAGTCTTAAGTTTTAGAATAATTGTAATTTTTCTTTGACCTTCTTTAAAGCAATTCTGTTTACATCACCGCATGGTGTATAGAAAAGTCACATAGTGTCATCTTGAATTTTCTCAACAGTGCTGAGCTTTAAAACGTGGGGAGGGGTTCCTAAAGACCAAAAGAACTGTAACAATGCTCTCAGCTCCAGCATCTCAGTCTCTGCAGCAGAATTCAGCTGCACAGCTTGCAACAGCTTGAAAGGATACCCTGAGGCTGAGCCTCAGGACTCCATCCAGTTGTCCTAGAAAATTCTGACTTTGTACCTCACCTGTATTGGGATAAATAAATTTCCATTAGTACACTACCATAAACCAGTTATCTCGGCATGACCGTATTCAATATTCTGTTATGTTCCTATCTCAATTATTCAGAGGAATTTTTAACGTCGTGTGTTTGATTTAGTCATTTTTATAACAGATGGCACATCAGTAATCAATTAGTTATTTAATAGCCATTTATTGTGGACCTAGTTCTGTGCTAGGTCCCATGGAGACAAAGAATAAGGTGTTGTCATCAGCCATCTTGATAATCTTCAGATGAGGATCAAAACTGACAAAAGTGAAATAATTGGAGAATGAACATCTGCTTTAGAAGTTCAGAGACGAAAACAAGTAGAATTCAAGAGAGTGTTGAATGAAAGACAAGAGACTTGATATAGAGACATGGAAAGCCAAGAAACATGAAAAGTCATAGAGACAAAAATAAGTGGCTATGTTTCTGGAACAATGAGGAAACTAGTCCAATTTGACATATCTCCTTTCCAAACATAGACCTTGTGTCTGTCCACTTTCAACCCTTTCCTCTGCTGTCACTTTGGTTCAGTTTTCTCATCATTCCGGCTACCATGTCTCTTCTACAATTCATAGAACTCACACAATGATCTTTTTTTTCCACTTAAAATCAGATTTTACAGGCCCCCTGCTCATTTCCCTTCCAATGGCTTATCAATGCACTGAGAATAAAATCCAAACTCCTTTCCATGGCCACCAGGTCCTAAACGACAGAGACCACAATTACCTGTGTGATCTTCTCTTCTGACATTCTATCCCTTGCTCGCTAACTCCAACTTCACTGCTTTTTTTATTCCAAATCAGGATTGCAGAAAAATGAATAGCAACAACACTTGCTTAGCACTACACAGCTTCAGTCTGTATTCTTCACTCAATTCTTTACACAAACCTTG